GGCGTCAGAGAGGCTTCAGCGGCCGGAGCCTCACAAAGAAAGCCGAGAAGAATGTTTTTAGATTGCCGGAATCCATTCCGAGTTCACAGCAATAAACTTCAATAAACGGATTTTCTTTTTTTTTTTTATGTAGACGCCTCGGAGGAAGCGAAACAGGAAAAAAAAAGAAAAGAGCGCAACTCGGAAGAGATCATAGCGATCGGACATGAGCGGGGATGTGTATGCGCTGCCATGATGATGATGATGAAGGACGAGTTTATTAGAACAAAAAAAAAAGTTACGTCTCCATTCTAAAATTAAAACGTTGTTAGGCAAAGAGTTTAATTTAACCCCTTCCAGTCCGGCGTAGAAGAACTTTGCCCTGTCAGTTATCAGGGGCTACAGCTCTTCCCTAATGAAACTTTAAAAGACTTGTGTAGATGCATCAAGTGCCAAACAAGGAGCTGCATTTACAGGTGAAACTCGAATGATTAGAATATCGTGCAAAAGTAATTGCAGTAATTGCTACAAAAGGGGCCCAAACCAAGTACTGAGTGCATATGCATGATTAATCTGTTCACCGGTTGCCAGGAGCTAGGCGGCATGCAAGCCAGAGCGTCCCACTTAGCTCCCGGCAACCAAGGAGCTGGGCAGCATCGCTCTTAGAAACCCGGGACGCTGTGCCCCAAAACCTGGCCACTCCCCAATGAGATGCCACCGCCTCAGCTCTCGGTAGGTTGTATTTGCATGCAGGCCGCTCGAGGTAATGCACACATGTGACGCTGAGCCTCCATGATTGGAAGAACTGAAATGCAATGAATGAAAGGGGCGGGGGCCATTGAGAGTCAGAATGGGGAGAAAAGTGCTAGATGATGCTGAATGTCCTGAAGCTTCTAATGCACATGGTGAGAAGCTCCCAGTGTGCAGTGACATCAGAGGAAGCCATACCAGTCCAGGAGAGGAACCGGTACAACAGTGCAAGACTGAAGGGAAGGACGGAGGTCACACAGAAGACTGAAGGGAGGACAGAGGTCAGATAGAAGACTGAAGGGAGGACAGAGGTCAGATAGAAGACTGGAGGGAAGGACAGAAGTGAGATAGAAGACTGGAGGGGAGGACGGAGGTCAGATAGAAGACTGAAGGGAGGACAGAGGTCACATAGAAGACTGAAGGGAAGGACGGAGTTCAGATATAAGACTGAAGGGAAGGACGGAGGTCAGATAGAAGACTGAAGGGAAAGGCGCAGGTCACATAGAAGACTGAAGGGGAGGACGGAGGTCAGATAGAAGACTGAAGGGAGGACAGAGGTCACATAGAAGACTGAAGGGAGGACAGAGGTCACATAGAAGACTGAAGGGAGGACAGAGGTCACATAGAAGACTGAAGGGAGGACAGAGGTCACATAGAAGACTGAAGGGAGGACAGAGGTCACATAGAAGACTGAAGGGAGGACAGAGGTCACATAGAAGACTGAAGGGAGGACAGAGGTCACATAGAAGACTGAAGGGAGGACAGAGGTCACATAGAAGACTGAAGGGAGGACAGAGGTCACATAGAAGACTGAAGGGAGGACAGAGGTCACATAGAAGACTGAAGGGAGGACAGAGGTCACATAGAAGACTGAAGGGAGGACAGAGGTCACATAGAAGACTGAAGGGAGGACAGAGGTCACATAGAAGACTGAAGGGAGGACAGAGGTCACATAGAAGACTGAAGGGAGGACAGAGGTCACATAGAAGACTGAAGGGAGGACAGAGGTCACATAGAAGACTGAAGGGAGGACAGAGGTCACATAGAAGACTGAAGGGAGGACAGAGGTCACATAGAAGACTGAAGGGAAGGACGGAGGTCAGATAGAAGACTGAAGGGGAGGACGGAGGTCAGCTTTTTAAAATCGGCTAAATAAATTTCAGGCCCATGAAATAAAAAAAGATGTGTTAAGTCTTACAGTTCACTTATTTAGAGAAGGGCCCTTGCTGTCTTTGTAGAAGCAGCGGTCTCTCTGCAGCGGTCCAACACCCCCAGCTGAGTCAGAGCTAGAGATCTCCAATCAGTAGGGAGCATGAGCTGTACTGACTGCCCCCTATACCCCTCCCCAGCTGCCCACATTTCACCATATTTCATATAGAACTTGGGGAGTAATTGTTATATCTCTATATCGGACCAGCATGGCGGCCGCCACCAATCCCCGGATACATGACACAATACACGCGGGGCGCACATACCTTTTTTCGCTCTCATATTCGATGTCCTCCACCCTCTCTGAGCCCGACGGGAGGGGCAGCAGTGTCTTCCCGCGTACTTGTCCCACCATAACCGAGAGGCTGCTTTTCAGGGCGCTCACATGACGCAGGACATCCTGGGAGAGCACGTGGGGCCACGTCTTCTGATTTTCAGGATTTGCCAAAATTGGGGCCACAACCTGCAGAGAGAGAAACCGAACAAATGAGAGCTCCGAATACTGAGACCACCAGAGAAGGTCAACCGCATCTCCGAGACTGAGATCAACCGATGCGCAGGAATACTCTGCTCTGCTGGAGGACTCTGCTCCTTCCTCTATAACCCTCCTCTCCTGATATACTCTGCTGGAGGACTCTGCCCCTTCCTCTATAACTAAAGTAGAGCGCTGTGTTTGTGGGTTTTTTTGGGGGGGAGGGGGGGCCCAAAAAAAAAATCTTGCACCATGGCCCTTTGTTCCTTAGGTCCGCCACTGACTCTCCTCTCCTGAAATACTCTGCTCTGCTCCTGTATTGTGTTCTTGAGTCACAGCAGACGGCCCATACTGATATACTTATCAATAATGGGTCCTCTCTGACAGGTAGAGCCCACCTCATTTCCTGTCTGGAGGATGTCAAGTATCATGTAGCACTTTTCTCCCCAGCCTGTCTCTGGGCTGCCCCTTTCATCCATCAGATATAGGTCCTTACAATCATGGAGGCTCAGCATCCCATGTGGGTATGACCTTGGACAGTCCACATGCAAACACAGCCTGCCTAGGGACGCCCACTCCTCCAGACTGACATCCGCCCATCAAGACTTTTTGATATTTGCATATTTCCTCCCAAGAGCCAGCCCACCGCTTGCATCGGGGCTCTTGAGAGCAGTACTGAGGCCAGGTGCTGTGATGTTTTCAGGAAGCTATGTACAGCACCCTGCTTGCCCCTCCCAACAGACCGGCAACCAGATACATTTGTGTTGCTTTGCCATTATTGGTCCCATCCAGCGGTGAGCCCTTGGCGGCCCGCGGAGCTGCGATAGGGCGAGGACGTCACCACAACGCACCGCATTGGAAAACCCGCTGCTTTGTGGTTGAGAAGAACTCCGGGCAAAGCAGAAAGTCCATTTCCACTTTTGGCAGCCAAATTGGGATGACACCTGTTTTATATTTGTTACATGTTCCCATTCACATGGCCACGGCCCTGGCACTGCGAGGGTTAAGTGGTCATTTTGTCGGGGGGAGGGAGTCGTTTAATAAAGCCGAATTACTCACCTGATCCTCGGACCCACGGCGGTCAGCGCTCACCTCTCTCCCCCTTGGAATGTCCTCATGTCTAATGCAAGTAAACGGACCTGCATAAGAAGTGATGACATCATCGGTCCTTAGACTGCTGGAGCCCGGGGAGGAGAAGAGGCTGCAGGGATTAGTCTAGCAGCCGACCAGCTGTGGTGAAACTACAAACCCCATCCTGCACCTGTCTCTGGGCGCCATGGCTGCGCCTGTGAGGATCTAGCACTGGCTCATGGGATTTGTAGTTCCGCTGGAGGGCCCCACCCCTGCCCTAGACAAAACGAGCACTTAACCCTTGCAGTGCAGGGGCAGCCCCACTGCAGATGTAAGATTTTTGGGGGATTTTTTTTTTGCTTCATTATTTTCAATCCTTTGGAAACCTGGAGCTTCCATTAAAATCATCCCCAATGGTGCCGGGAAGGTCCAGATTAGACATTTGCATCTGGATTCGGACTCCGAATCTGAAATAACAATTTATTTATATGCCCGAATATACTAAAATTATATTCGGGCATATATACGTTCGTTTTCATGTCCGCTGCCATCTTGGAGGAGGGTCGCATGACGTCACACGATGCCACGAGCGTGCAGCGTTGGGTGCGGTGACCATATCGGCCGCCAGCATTTTCTATCTTGGAGTATTTTTCTTGGTATACACCAAGATGGCGGCACCCATCTTTGTGTATACCAAGATCCACTCCAAAATGGCGGCACGTCTGCGCAGAACGCACTGGGGGCCGAAACGGCTGGCGCCTCATTCTGCAAGTTTATTTGTGCGGTTTCGGACGTTCAAATTTGTTTCCTTTGACGAAACGAATGACAATGTTTTTCATTTTCATCCGAAACAAAATTGTTTTGCCGTGCACATGTCTAGTCCAGGTGCTTCTTGTTATAGGGTGACAACTCTATCTCCCTGGCTACCAACTGTGCTCAGTCGTTGTCACGCAGGCTTCCGATGACTACAAGCAGCTGTTTTAGCTCATGAGTCAGCCATTGGAAGTTGCATCAGATACATTTCTATGTTCTATCCGTAGGTCTATGAATAGTTTATGGTGAGATTTAGGTGGGGAAGGCCTTATAATTCGTTCTTATAGTGCGATTCATCGATAAGTAACTAATCTTATCTTGTATCCTGTATACGTGTGCATTTAAAGTCCCAAAATATATTTGTGAGGGGGAAAAAAAAGTATTGTACACTTTCAGAGAATGAAATGAATGGGTGCAGCGTCGGGGGGTGGGGTATTGCGGTGCCGGCTATTGATCGTGTTCCTTCACGTGGCGGTCAATACTCTCGGCGGGGGACAATACAATGTCACTGCAGCAACGACAACAACAACCGTGTACACAAAACTTTTCACTATTGACGTCCTGTGGTCACCCTCTGGCAGTTAACCCTTCACTTGTCACTGGGCTACGAGCCAAACATTGGCATTGTTGGGGCCTCGCTTGGTGCCAGGAGGGAAAGTCTACAACAAAGTGCCGAGGTCAAGAAATAAAATGTTAAAGGAGAACTATGAGGTGAATGATTTCCACTCACCTCATAGTTCTAGCCGACCTGTGACAATGAGACTGTCACAGGTCGGCTCAGTAGATCGGGAGGTGAGCGAACACATACCGGGTCGCTCACCTCTCGATCCTGTCACGGCTCTCTGCCGTGACGGGGAGGGGCTGGATTCCCCTCTCCCCGCTCCGATCTGCCAGCGCTGACTGGCGGAACGGACGGGGGAGGGGGCGGGTACAGCTGGCTCTGCCTCTAGATAGGCAGAGCCAGCTGTCACTCACGCAGCTGGGCGGATCCCGTCATCTACGTCGGGATCCTCTCCGGCTGCGGCGTCTCAGTATACCGCGAGCTTTAGCTAGTTTGTGTCCTCCCGTTACCCGAAGGAGAACTATGGGGAAAAACACTGACCCCATAGTTCTCCTTTAAGAGTTTTGAGTGAACACAAAGTTCTGACGTGTCTCAGAATTGGAAGAATTATTAGGGTTCGTTCACACTGTTGGGATACAGCGTTTGCATTGTCTACTGGTATGGGTCCATCAGACACCAACTGACTACAAGTCCATCCTCCCCCTGTGAGGTGACAGGTAGGTGCACAGCTTTGACCAATCGCATCTTCCTCCTGTGTACTTCAGGAGCTTATAAATTGTGGCTGGGCCCAATGGACATTCACCAGGCCCCTGCTTAGCATGGATGGTGCGGGGAAACTAAACATCAAAGAGAACCAAAAAAAGTGCACGTGGAACAAACACAAAAAATGTGCACATGGATTTGTCATATTGGTACTTCTCTATAAAAGAAAGGGCCCTTTCCTGACCCCCCCAAGGCTCAAGGCCCTTGACACGGGCAAAGCACTCTGGTCCAGTAGCCAAGGCCAGACGGACCCTTCTCCTCGTGATCCACGTAGCCTAAGCCAGACGGACCCCTCTCCTCGTGATCCACGTAGCCAAAGCCACACGGACCCCTCTCCTCGTGATTCACGTAGCCAATGCCACACGGACCCCTCTCCTCGTGAATTATGTAGCCAAAGCCAGATGGACCCTTCTCCCCGTGATCCACGCAGCCAAAGCCACACGGACCCTTCTCCTCGTGATCCACATAGCCAATGCTACACGGACCCTTCTCCTCGTGATCCACGTAGCCGAAGCCACACGGACCCTTCTCCTCGTGATTCATGTAGCCAAAGCCACACAGACCCTTCTCTTCGCTATCTACGTAGCCGAAGCCAGACGGATCCTTCTCCTCATGATCCACATAGTCAAAAGCCACACAGACCCTTCTCTTCATGAGCCACATAGCCAAAGCCAGACGGACCCTTCTTCTCGTGATCTACATAGCCGAACGCAGACGGACCTTCTTCTTGCGATTCATATAGCCAAAGCCACACGGATCCTTCTCTCTGTGATCCCCGTAGCAGAAGCAAGTCAGACCCCTCTCCTCGTGATCCACATAGCCAAAGCCACATGTACCCTTCTCCTCATGATCTATGTAGCCGAAGGCAGACAGACCCTTCTCCTCATGATCTACATTGCCAAAGGCAGAAGGACACTTCCCGTGATTGACCAAAGCCAGCCACCAAGGGAGAGAAACCCCCAGATTAGGGGAGGAAGGAACCTGATGGCCACACATCTTGCCCCTAGACTTCAGGGTAGGCTTAAAGATGCACACCCAACATCCTATGGAGTGAAAAAAGATGCGAAAATAAGTCTACAAGTGTGCTGTACATAGTGCAGGCCTTGCGGCCCAGTATAAAAATAAACCCTGGTCCCAAGAGGCGTGCAGAAAAAAGCAGGTGGTGTTGTGGCCTAATGCTCTTTCAGGTCCCAAACCCATAGTGCTACTCAGGTACCCCCAAAGTGCTACTCCCTCGGGGCGCTTGACACCAGCCTATGACCTGAACAGGTAGACCCCTACAGATCAGGAGGCACTGGCCCACTCCAGATCCCATACACAAGAGACGAACCCTGACTTCCACCTTTCATGGTGGATGCTCAATTCAGTTTCCATCCCACGGCCAGGACCCTTTGGAACCCCATCATTCCAAACAAAGTGCTCTGCAGCCAGCCATTCCTACCCTTAGGCCACAACAGCAGCACATTTCCCCTCCTGAACACTGATGAGAAGCCAAGAGGCTGAGAAGTGATTCCATCTCTGGGTGCTGCTATAGACATGGTCTCCTACGTGAATTCTTCTCACCTCTATGGTTTGGCCAGCCCAGGGAGACCTTCAGATAACCTTGGGAGACCTTTGCATTACGATGGAGGTGTCTGACTCACCTGTTCCGTTTACTTATTGTACTAATGAGAGCCGGTAAACAATGTTCTGTGTATCTTCTGCAGCTCCTGGCGATGAGAAGATGAATAACCAGACCATATGCATACAAACACTCCCCGGCTACGGGCAACACAAGGCAACCCAGACAGAACCGACACATAGTGAGATCTCAGGGAAGAACGGGTCTCCTCTCCTCTATCAACCAACCAGAATGATCGTTCAGTATGGAGAGTTGGAAGGAAGAATCCGATTGGCTGCTTTGAACCACATACACTAAATAGTTATGTGGAACCCCAAAGCAAATTTTTGAGTTCCGGTGTTCCCCATAAAGGGTACTGTTAATGCTTCAGCAAGTGGCAAAGACATTGTAGACCGGGAGGTAGGCAACCTCGGCACTCCGGCTGTCGTGGAACTGCGAGTCCCATGATTCATTGCAAGACTGACAGCCACAGACATGGCTCCCAGAAGCATGATGGGATTTATAATGTCACCACAGCTGGAGTGCCGAGGTTGCCCACCCCTCTTGTAGACAATTGTGCACTTCCAACTTTGTGGTAACAGTTTGGTGAAGGCTCTTTTCTATTCCGGCATGACTCAAAGCCAGCTCCATGAAGACATGTTTTGGCCAGCTTGAGGTGGAGGGACTCGAGGGCCCTTCACAGAGCCCTGACCTCAACCCTACCGAGCACCATTGGGAAGAATTAGAATGGTGAGCCGGGTCTTCTCATCCGACATCAGCACCTGACCCTCAAAAATGGGCACAAATTCCCACAGACACCCTCCCAAACATCCCAACTCTCCCGGAGTCTCCTGCTATTAGATAGAGGCTCACCAGCCGCCCGGGATAGAAACATTTTCTACCGGAAAGGTTTACTCTCCTCGATCTAGCAGAGTAAACCTTTCCCTGCGATCTGGGGGCCGCTGGAAGCCGTCGGTCAGAGAAAAGAAAAAAAAACAGCATAGGAATGAATAGCTGGATTGCTATTGGCTATTTCACTTTGCAATAGCCAATAGCAGACTAGCCATTGCTCCCGCCCACTGCTGCTGGCAATCAGCAGAGGGGGACCTGAAGTTCTCCATCAGGTCCTCTTCTAGTGATTGACAGCAACAGAGGGCGGGTGCAATAGCCAGCTTGCTATTGGATATTGCAAATTGAAAATAGCCAATAGCAATCCAGCTATTCATTCCTATGCTGTGTTTTTTTCAAATTTTTATTCTGACGGCAGCAGCTGTCACAATGCTAAAAATAACCCAAAAAACAGCAGATAGCAAAGAAGCTATTGCTTCCCGTGCTATCTGCCATCATTTCAGGGGGGTGCTGAGGGTACTTCTCTGAAATGAGAAGGGCACCTCCCTGAAATGAGAAGGGCACCTCCCTGAAATGAGAAGGGCACCTCCCTGAAATGAGACAGGCACCTCCCTGAAATGAGAAGGGCACCTCCCTGAAATGAGACGGGCACCTCCCTGAAGTGATAAGGGCACCTCCCTGAAATGAGACGGGCACATCCCTGAAGTGATAAGGGCACCTCCCTGAAATGAGAAGGGCACCTCCCTGAAGTGATAAGGGCACCTCCCTGAAATGAGAAGGGCACCTCCCTGAAGTGATAAGGGCACCTCCCTGAAGTGATAAGGGCACCTCCCTGAAGTGATAAGGGCACCTCCCTGAAATGAGAAGGGCACCTCCCTGAAGTGATAAGGGCACCTCCCTGAAGTGATAAGGGCGCCCTTTGAAATTGCTTTTTTCAGGTTGGAATCCCTGCACTCCAGAATCCGGTGGAACCCCTTCCCAGAAGAGCGGAGGATGTTATAGCCACAAAGGGGCCAACTCTATATCAATGGCCATGGTTGCCCAACAAACTCCTATAGGGGTGATGGTCGGGTGTTCACAGAGGGTCTCCACCCCCTCAGACAAGGCCCCATGGCCTTGTCCTAGACAATAAGCATCGCGAGGAACAATGTGCACCGAACCGTCTCAACCAACAAGACTTCAGATCGTCGGTTTTGGATGCCGTCACCTGCTGTGGCGTAGTACAACGGCCTGTTTTTTGACACCACAACCCCCAGCGGCCAATCACAATCCTCTTTCACTGACTTGTCTCATAGACTTGGTTGCTGCAGTCACTGACAATTTTTTTTCACCTCCGTCTTAACAAGCGGCCGGCGGTCCGTCATGTCAGAGAGCGGCCGGCGGTCCGTCATGTCAGAGAGCGGCCGGCGGTCCGTCATGTCAGAGAGCGGCCGGCGGTCCGTCATGTCAGAGAGCGGCCGGCGGTCCGTCATGTCAGAGAGCGGCCGGCGGTCCGTCATGTCAGAGAGCGGCCGGCGGTCCGTCATGTCAGAGAGCGGCCGGCGGTCCGTCATGTCAGAGAGCGGCCGGCGGTCCGTCATGTCAGAGAGCGGCCGGCGGTCCGTCATGTCAGAGAGCGGCCGGCGGTCCGCTGGGGGACCACTATCATGTCATGTGACATTGTAGGAACGGCTATTGGGAACAATCCGGCATCCTGGTACCGCTTGAGCCACTTCCTGTTATAGGGTGACAACGCTATGTGCCCGTTTCCCAATTGTGCCCCTGCGTTGTCACCCTGTCACATGGCTTCCGAAGGAGGCTACAAGTGGTTGTTCCAGCACACATTACGCAGGTATGGTTCACTGTTGTCACCAGCAGGACACCCGTCCTGGGAAATGACACGCGGCCATCACTGGAACGCATGTAGACAACGCTCTGTCCCCGTTTCCTAACTGTGCTAATGCGTTGTCACGCGGGATCTGATGCAGACTACATGTATGCATTTTGCAGGAATGGTCCACTGTTGTCACCAATAGAAAACCCTGCCCTGAGAAATGCCATGCGGCCATCGCCGGGACGCATGGAGGCGGGAAGTGGCTGCAAAGAGCCTGCGAGAGATCTGCAGCGCTGAGATGGAACAAAGGAGGAAAAAAACAGTATTTTAAGAGGAATACAGTGTACAGAGCAGGACCAAACGTCACCTGATCAGCATTTATATCTACGTTGCATTACTGACCTCATAGAGCGGGGGTGGGCACACTGAAACTACAAGTCCCATGATGCATCTGTGTCTGGGAGCCATGCCTGTGGCTGTGAAAATCCTGCAATGCCTCATGGGATTTGTAGTTCCACCTCAGCTGGAGGGCCGGAGTTTGCTCCACCCGTGTTATAGAGCATTGGAGGTCCCGTTCACAACAGACAGTGCGCATAGTGCGTGTGTTGCTGTGCATTGTGCACATGTTTTTTTTTTGCAACTTTATTAAACGAACATTTCTATTAACAGCGGCGGGACGCTCCAATCACTGCCGGAATCACTGACCCGACGGCTGCACTTCAGGCATAACAAAGCGGCTCCGGAGAGCGGAGATCAGGTGACACCCAATCACCTCCCGGGACAGATCAGATCTCCTCCCACACACTGAACACGGATTGTACAATCAGATTGTACCGCTGACCTCCCACAGACTGAACACGGATTGTACAATCAGATTGTACCGCTGACCTCCCACAGACTGAACACAGATTGTACAATCAGATTGTACGCTGACCTCCCACACACTGAACACGGATTGTACAATCAGATTGTAAACTGACCTCCCACACACTGAACACGGATTGTACAATCAGATTGTACGCTGACCTCCCACACACTGAACACGGATTGTACAATCAGATTGTACGCTGACCTCCCACACACTGAACACGGATTGTACAATCAGATTGTACGCTGACCGCCCACAGACTGAACACGGAACACATATCTCAGGCAAGTCATGAAGGACGGGGATCGGCATAACAGCCGGGCAAACAGCATTTTGAGCGCCGGCGGCACGGTGAAAGAACAGCGTAGACCGCCAGCGCTGCCCCGCCTCCTGAAAATGCAGTTCACCCGGCTGCCATCCTGATCCGCTCCCTCGTCTACGGGGGGAAAAACTGCGATTGCACGCCGGCGTTCCCGGTCTACAAGGCTCATGGCCGAAGCCGGCGGACCAGCATGACCCCCACCCCCGAGGACGGCCTTACCTCTTCCACCAGGGCGGAGAGCTGATCCAGGGGGGAGTAGGACAGGTTCCCGAACGTGAGGCTGCTCCTGATGAGTTCGGCGCTCAGGGCGCCGGGGCTCTTCTTCACGAAGTACACGGCCTTGTTCTTGATGGCGGCGGGGAAGGCCAGCGCGGGGACCAGCAGCCCGGCCGCGTTCAGCGACACCACCAGCGCCGGGCACTCGGCCTTGTCCAGGAACTGCCGCAGGGCGGCCACGTTCTCCTCGGCCGAGACGCATTTCTGCCAGCGGTCCGGCTTGAGCCGCAGCGCCCTCAGCACGTACTCCTCGATGAACTGCAGCCGCTTGTCGGACGGCGGCGGCGGCGCTGTCTCCGCCATTCCTGCGCGTTGCGTTCCTTCCCGGGGAGGAGGAGGGGAGCTGAGATTGAGCAGCGCCGAGCCCGGTGATGGGGAGAAGACTGAGGACCCGGCTGCTCAGCACCTTCTCTGCTCACTCCCGGCTGCCATGGAAACTCTGTTTGTGTTCAACAAGTTGCTGGGACTTGAGGCTGCT